GGCTGTCACGGAAGACATCTAAATCCGTGAAATACGTCATTATTGAAAGTTTTCGACAAAAACATTGCACCCCAGAAGTAAGTATTACCGCGATTCATAGTTGAGTGAACCTTCAGGTGCGAGATGCGGGCGGTCACGCTGCAGTCAATTCCAGACATTGAAGGGCAATCATCAATGCTTAGGACTAACCGCAGCGCGACCGCATGCATTTTGCATCTGGCTATTATCGGTATTTTGCTTGATTCCCTGGAAGAAATTCCGATGTATTGATATATCTGTTTTGAGGTTTACGTCTTTGAATGACAAAAACCCCCTTCATATTTCCATTCCCTTTATCTACATTGGGAATCCCGAAGTAAACGATCTGAGGAAATTTCTTGGGAGGTAACCCCGAAAAGGAACGGGTGTATAAAGAAAGATAGGCAAAAACTCACCACAAAGTCCTTTTCCATGGCATAATGCCCAAATGCAAATTTTGATGAGATCGCAGCACTTGCACCTGAAGCACCAGCAGTCATCGCATAGGTACACACATCCCATGCCATTTCGCTCTGAAAGTAGTCAGGTGTTAAAGTATAAGTTAATGAACTCGAGAAAACGCTATTATAAACCCGTAAACCTCGGCCCTTGGTCCTTCCCCCTGTTAGTCCCATTTCCAACCCACGTAGCACTCACTGTAAAGACCTTTTTATCAGGTGCTAAATACCTGGAGCATCAGTTTTCAGCAAAGTGCCATAGTAATACGTTGGAATCATCAGCAAAACCCGTTAGAAATGTGATAAATTGTAAAAGGTTCCTTCGAACCTCCCCGGAAAGTAGTTCACTGCTTAAAAAACTTTTCATTGCGCTGGAAAGGAAATAAAGCAAGCCCTGGCAAGTTGAACAGTTCCAAAAAATACATTTTAATCAGTCTAACGGTAGGTTGGAGAATATACTGGCATTTTCAAAATAGCAGAAAAAAACCATACCTTCGGGTGGGTTAATGTCAAAGTCGCGTTTACTTATTTTACGAGTTTCGTTGTTCATTCACCTGTTCCAGTTCTCTTTCCAACCATATTTGTTTATCTGTAATTACACGATGATGTTCTGCAAGCAAATCCACAACCTCTCAGAAAGATAAAAGAAACGATTTTAGAACTTTCAACAGATACATAACTGAAGGACACTTTCCTGCGAAGCGACGCATGGTCCTGCAGCGATATGCACTTAGTGCGGGAGATTTGTGGCGCGTATTTATTCGAATTTCTTCCCTCCCGTCGTTGCACATTGTTCATTTTCTTGGTTCGTTTGTATTACGCGGTTGGTTGTTCCCTTGATTGTTTATATTTACGTATATGACTGCATGCTAACCATTTGTTTCGATAGTTTGACTTTTTATTCTCCGCGGTTAGGTGGTTGTGTTGTTAAGTTTTGGTTTTACTATCAAAACGGAGCTATGTTAAAACGTAGTACGTTTATTTCAACTTAAACTTGTTCAGGTACTAAATTACTAACATCAACATGGTCGCTCTGAACCAAGAGGCTTTTCCTGCTAACTCATCTGAAGAGACGGAAAGCGTAGCTGTTGCTAACGAAGAGGTGGATTTGCCTGAACTGAGCACTGAACAGTAAGTTGCACTTGTAATTTCTAGTTACATCTTCTTTTG